TTTGTTGCTAATAATGCTGCTGCTGTTGATAAATTTGTTGCTAATAATGCTGCTGCTGTTGATAAATTTGTTGCTAATGCAAAAATTGGTAACACAGTTAGCTGCAGATAAATTTGCTTTCTTGGTTTTTTTTTGTTGACTAATTTGCCTTTTGTGTAGTACTGATTCAGAATTATTGTGATGCATGTAGTTGTATGTTTTGTGGTATGATGAAGGAGCTGCTTCAGGAGTATTGTAATGCATGGAGGTGTATGTTCTGTTGATGCCTCCTTGATGGATCTGATTAAGTTGTTGTCTGTGATCTGACTGCAGTAGCTCTGAACATAATGAGGAGTGTTGAAAAATACAGAGAAAAGAGTGTTTCAGTTGTAGTACTGCATGGAGTTGGATGATTTCTTTCTGTGATCTGACTGGAGTTGTATGTTCGCTTATCAGTTGTAGTACTGCATGGAGTTGGATGTTTGCTTTCTGTGATCTGACTGGAGTTGTATGTTTGCTTATCAGTTGTAGTACTGCATGGAGTTAGATGTTTGCTTTCTATGATCTGACTGCAATAGTACTGAACAAGTGTTGGAAAATACAGAAAGAAGAGGTTTTCAGTTGTCTGTATCAGTTTGACTGTTGCCTGTATCAGTTTGACTATTTTAGGTGGTTGTTTTAGGCTGCGTTTGTTTAACATTTGGGAATACTACTTTTAGTATTCCCAAAAAAGTTAAACAGTAAAATACCCAAAAATTCAGATTTTTGGGAATACTACTCCCAAAATTATTCAACTTTTTTTAAACCCTTTAAATTTGATAATTAAATTAAATACCCCTAAATATTTTTTTTTAAATTACAAAAACACCCCAATAATCCACATTTACCAGATTCCGGCCACCACCACCGGAAAATGGCCGGAATCTGGTAGAATGGCGCACTACCGGCTGAATCTGGCCGGCAGTGCGCCGATCTAGCCTTTTCCGGCCAGATCCACGGTGGATCTGGCCGGAAAAGGCCAGATCTAAGGCCAAAGATCTGGCCGTTGACGGCCAGATCTTTGGCCGTAACACTCGGTCACGACGGCCAACAAACGGTCGTCGTTGACCATCAACGACGACCGTTTGTTGGCCGTCGTTGAGAGCAAATACGGCCAGATCTGGCCGTTGACGGCCAGATCTGACCGTAGATCTGGCCTTTTCCGGCCAGATCCACCGTGGATCTGGCCGGAAAAGGCCAAAGCGACGCATGACCGACAAGATCCAACCGGTCATGCGCCCATACGGCTGCTCCGGCCACCTCCGGTGGTGGTCGCCGGCTGGGGGTGTTTGAGGGTGGGTTAGGGGTATTTTTGTTAACTTTTAATGTTTTATTATAGGGGGTATTTTGTAAAAAAACAAACATAAAGGAGATTTTATTAATTTATAAATTTTACCTCGTAATACCCGCCCAATTCAACTTTTTTTTAACTTTTTTCAAAAAACTTTTCCCAAAACCCCCAAATTTTGAACCAAACGCAGCCTTAGTTCCTTGTATCAGTTTAGGTGTTTCAGTTGAGTTCATTTGTATCATTCAAAAGGAAGATTTGATTCAGAGTTTTTTTAACTGAAGTTATAGAGGATGGAAAACAGACGATTAACTTAGTTGATTTTGAGAAAAACAGAGGATTGATTCAGCTGATTTCTGAGATTTCTGATAGTTCGATTCAGTTGAATTCTGAGCAGAAATGATTCCAGATTCCCAGGATTCATTTCAAGGGAAGATGTTAGTAAAGGGGTAAAAGTGCCTGCCTGCAATGGTTCAAGATTCCCAGGTTCAGTTCAAGGGAAGATATTAGTAAAGAAGTAAAAATGATTCTCCCAAGTTCAGTTTAAGGGAAGATGTTAGTAAAGGGGTAAAAGTGTCATTTGTCAATGCTGTTAGTTGTTACATTTCTGTTAAGCTTTCAGTTAAGCTGTAACAAGATCAGTATCGTTACACTCATGTAAACACTATAAAAGTGTACAGTAAAACAAAATGTATTAACTGAAAAAGAAATTAGTAAAGTAACAAAAGAATATTCAGCCCTCATTTTCTCTCTCTCGTTTTCTTCTCTTTGTTCCAGTTTCTTGCTAACTTTGCTAAAAGCTTCGCAGTTTATAACCTATTTTAAAAATATTAAATAATATATCCGTACAATGCGCGCACCCTGTCTAGTTTAGAAAATAAAACAACCGTTGTCTATGGTCATTGGAATGGTGAATGGATTTAATATGATTTATGAAATCGAGTTAATCCCATTTATTCAAAACGCATTTAATGTAATTTGAATTACGGAAGACGACGTTGAAAATGCAATTGCCTTTTCATATTTTTGGACTTGATGCTAGTTACTTCTAAAAATATCACCACTCTGTGATTGGATCACTACTTTCTACTGACGTTGTTAATGACATTTAAGGAAGGTTTCTAAAGAATTTCAGGTGTATAATTAAGCTAAAGGACCTTAATTATTTGGTGTATTCTGAGGAGTTAAATATATATTGATGCATCTCTTAAAAAATTGTTGGAGTCATTTCAAAAGACCTAATGCTTAGATTTAGGAAACATTTTGTCTCTGTGTAAACTTGTTCAATTCATCATGTAGTAAAATGTACAATTTCAAATGATATATTCTCATGATCACATGAAAGAAGTAGTATATGTAATTATGTATACAAGTTTCTAGAGTTATGGAAGAAATAGTTAATGCACATAATTAAGCAATCTCCTCGCTATATCTATGGCTTGACTTACTCATTCCTCTCCCTCTCCCTCTCCCTCTCCCATAAAACACATGACAACATTTTTGTGTATATATATCTTATGCAATTAACTTCACATCATGTGACTTTCATATTCATAAACTTAATAATTAATTACACAAAATCTCTTATTTCTCAAGCCATGCATTTTTTTTTTAAAATATAATTTGCATTAGAAAGTTTATGTTATTAAATTACTAAATATGCTGTAGTCAAAATGTATTTGAAAATACGAATTCAAAAAGGAAACGTGAAAAAGCAACTTGCTAGTTAAATTCATTGCTTTTCTGCTGAATCTTCTACCTGCGTACTGTTTAATTTAATTGGACTAAAAGAGCTGAGAGAAGATAATAAAAATATGGGAACATTATTGTTTGGGTTGAATTTTCAAGAATTGTAATTTATTTTTGCATTAGAAACAACAAGTATTTCATGTTTGTGGGTTTTAGGAAACTTGGATAATTATTTTGTTTGATATTAACTTAGATAATTCAATCACATGATAAATCATTATAATTAGTTTACTGTTTTAACTTTATGCGAAATTTTTCTTCTAATAAAATAATTTTAACCAATAGTATATTTCCGATACTAAATTTATTTATTTATTATTATTATTATTATTATTATTTTATTTTTATTTTTTTGTTTTATCATTTTGGTCTAGTATATTTGAAAACAGTGGCCATGTTAGGGTATTTTTCTCGGTTCTGGTCCAGCCCTGGTTAAGCGTGCTGTTGCCAATCTTTTATATCGACTCATGACTTGCAATTGGCATGAAATTGGGTAATGGTCACTGTCAAGTATCCAATAATCCAACTAATTGAACTGAATCTCTCTCTCTCTCATTTTCAGTTTTAAACCGTGACCCATATGTCTCCCAAGTCCCAACATCACCGTAGAATATTTTGTTGGATTAAAGTTTTATTAGGGACGTCCAAGAGTATAGTATATCCTCTGGTATTGGTTTCTATACTTCCCTGAAGTATAGTATAAAATTCAATATTTTAGGCGTAGTAATCAGGTGTCGAGTTATTTACCATTTATCCATTTTAGTTCCCAATATTTTTTCATTAATTAGAAGCCAAGGAACGAGGTCAGGTGATGATAAAACTTTATTTACGAGGGTTTCTTGGGTTTGAATTAAAATACATCATGTACCTCTTCCGTTTTTTGTTGACTAATAAAATTTTCTGTCTTTCGATTTCGTTATTGGATGTAAACCCTTGTCAAAATTACCCACAGTTTATTATGCATGCACCCACAGTTTATTATGCATGCCTTTATGTCAGAACAAGATCCCTCTAACTTTTGGGGAGAAATTAATATTATATATATATATACACATAAATAAAAATAGACTGACAAACGAATCTTACAAATTTCCTCACAAACCTCGACGTGGCAGCTGACTTGATAACCCAAGACACAAAATAATTTTGACTAAACTTAAAAAATGACTGTTCATAAAAGGAATGGTCATTCTTCTAGTGAGGAATGACCGTTCCTCTCTAAGGAATAACTATTCATTTCTTATGGAATGATCTTTCCTCTCTAAGGAACGATAATTCATTTCTTATGGAACGGGTCATTCCTTGACGGAGTGGTCATGTATGAAGGGAGAATGGCTATGGAATAGTCATTCTATATGAAGTAATGATTGTTCATTCATAAGGAACAACCGTTCCTTATGAAGGAATGATCATTCCTTCATAAAGAACAATTGTTTCTTCATAAGGAATGGTCATTCCTTCACAAGGAATGGCCATTTATGTTTAGTCAAAATCGTTAGTTGATGTGTTAATACCAACTTAGGTGCCACATTGGTTTGTGAGATTTGTGTGTCAGCATATTATTACCCATGTACACACATACTGTTTGTTTCCATTTCAACGTAAAAGAGAAGACTTTGTGTTTGTGCACGATTCCTTATCATTGGAGTCCCATCTTGTTCATGTTTAGTTACAGTACAGTCTACACTAAAATCATGTAGTGATAAATTACATACGAACATGAACATGATGATAACTAACTTCTTCGAAAAGAAACTCCCTCTCTCTTCCAGTGAATATCACAGTGATCTGTCGTCATCAATGATAATAAAATATCAATGAAGAATTAATTTCTCTGGTATCAATAAAAGGAGCTGGTCTATATTTATTTGTGTCGACGTGGCTCATTTGCATCCTTGTTTGTGTGTTTGAATCGCTTGGCAGAGAAAGCTCGAAAAGAGTAATATATATGGAACGGGGCAATGGAAATGGATCAGGGGCGTCTAGACTTGACCGAAACATGAAGGAGAGAGTCCGAAGAAAGCATATGAAAGATCTTCTTTCCGAGCTCGCTTTTTTGACTCCTCTACAATCCTCTAAGGTTTGGATATCCTTAATTTCTCGTTTCTTTATTTATTTTTATTGGAAGCAAATTAATTAAGCGCTGCTTTTATTTATTTATTTATTTTTTCTTATTATAGGTTTCAGCGATTGAGTTGTTGGAGCATGCTACCAATCATATAAAGCAATTGCAAGAAAGAGTGGAGGACCGAAGGCGCCGAAGGGCATTACTACTGAAAGAGAGTAGCGGTGATGAAAATAAAAAGACAAGCCGCTCAAGATTACCTGTACTAAACATAAAATGCTCAGATTCTAGTTTGGAAATAAATTTGATATGTGGGTTGGACAAGAACTTCATGTTACATGACATTATCAATATTCTTCAGCAGGAAGGAGCCGAAGTCATAAGTTCTACTCAGTATGTTGCAGGCGATAGAATCATATACATAATTAAGTCCCAGGTATATATCGCTTTTCTTTTCTATTTTAATCTATGTTTTATAAGATTATATAACGAAGAGTTGTCGTTAAATTAAGGATTTTGTTTATATTTGTAAATATACATTAAAAAAAAAAAAATTACTTCATATTGTCCATCTTATTAATTAATTGTAATAATAATCCTGAATTTCAAACCGAAATTAACAGGTTATATATAGTCAAGCTGATAGTAGAAATGAGATTGAATATTTTCTAATGATTGGATATATATATATAGACAAAAGCATTCAAATACACATGGAGATGCTTTCAGAATAACTCATTAATTTTCCTTTTCTGGCATTATATATATATATGCAGGCCATCAGTTCGAGGATTGGAATCGAAACTACAAGAATTCGTCAGAGAATAAAGGATCTGTGTTTCTGATATCATGGCAGAAATTATGGAACACACAAAGACGTACAAAAGATGAACCCTACGGCTACTTGGTGTTACAGAAATTTCGAAAATATTACACTTAGTTGTTCTATAATCTGAATAATTAGTTGTAAAGTGATATAACTAGGCATGTGTTGATAAATCAAACTCGGTTGTATGTTGTGATTTTGCAGTTGAAGTTATGACTATGTAAAATAACCAAATGTTTATGAAGTTAAAAGTATTCACTCCTTTCATGGCATCTTCTTTTTCGTTTCGTAATCCTTTCATGGAAACAGAATGCTACTTCTTCTTATTGTTATTCTTGTGAGGATAACAATAATAATATTTTGACGGCATTGGGATAATATAATGTTCAAATCAATTCAAATTTTGATTAATCACTTTCTTATTCCTACTAAAAAAAATTACTTAAGAATAGTTGTTGTTTAACTAATATACAACACAAAATAAATATTTTATACTTAAACTTTACACACACAAACATATATATATTTATTTATTTGATGCAAAAAATTTATTTTCCTATTGTAATAATTGTACCATAAAATTTCAGAAAATTTTCCTCTAATATTAATAGAAAAAAAAACATTTTCCTGTAATATAAATTATTTTCCTCCCTTGATTAATTAAAAAAAGTGTTATTATTATGGTTATTATTGTTATTATCATTATTATGTTTTTTTAAGCTTGAAAAGAGAAAAGAAAAAAAAAAGAAAAAAAGATAAAGAACAATGTAGCATGGGCACATGAGATTATAAAGTGTTATATAAATAGATGAATATGTTAAGAATATCAATGACAATAATTATTATTAATATAGAGATTGTCATTAAACGTTGGCATAGCTACGTGGTGATATGATATGTCAATGCATGCTGTGCTGTTATTGTAATATGAATAATGGGATAACCATAGTATTCTAGATTTTTTCATCATGGTTAAATTGAGAAAAATCAGATTTGGACTAAACGTTCACGTTATGCATACTCTCGTCTACTTTCAATGACAATACACGTGTGCTAGGGCATCAATCAAACATTTATTTTATATATATATATATACCACACGATTTCTCACACAAATCTTGTACTGTTGCAACTGGAATTTTTCTAGCATCTCTTGACGGTAACTTGATTTAGTTTGCTTTTCATGTCACTGAAAATTTCAGGTTTATATAAACGGACTTCCCTAATGAGAGATTTCAAGATACAAGTGCTGAAGCTCAGCAAAGAACACCAGAGAAAAAGTAAAACAGAGGAACGAAAATGCAGAGGAAAGAAAACCAGATCTGAATTTTTTTACTTAACTAAAATATTGTTACAGATCTGCAGTTTTTATAGTATTCAATTATACTAAAAACGCACTGTTTCATCTAAACTTTGGACCTTTACATTCAGACCCCCAACGTCTTATACATATCTAGTACTCTCACTTAAACACAACATATCTACAACTCTAAGACTTTCATATATCTAATATCTCCCCTGAAACCAAAACGTGTTACGTGTCTGCAACTCTAAAGTTTCTTCCTGCTTATTCTGAACTCCTTCAAGCTTCAGCATCTTCTCATCTCAGCATCAACTTTTTCAGCATTTTCTCATCCTAACATCAACCAGCAAAACAACAACCAGCATTACACTAGCAAGCATCACCATCATCAACCAGCATTACTCCAACAAAATTCAATAGCAAAATCAATCAGCATCAACCACATCATCATTTTCTCATCCGAGCATCAACTTCTTCAGCATTGTCTCATCCTAACATCAACCAGCAAAACAACAACCAGCATTACACTAGCAAGCATCACCATCATCAACCAGCATTACTCCAACAAAATTCAATAGCAAAATCAATCAGCATCAACCACATCATCATTTTCTCATCCGAGCATCAACTTCTTCAGCATTGTCTCATCCTAACATCAACCAGCAAAACAACAACCAGCATTACACTGGCAAGCATCACCATCATCAACCAGCATTACTCCAGCAAAATTCAACAGCAAAATCAATCAACATCAACCACATCATCCAGCAAAGAAACCACCAGCATTACTCCACCAAGCATCAATCATCTTTACAGTATCAACTATCAAAAGAACTCAACCAGCATCAACTAGCAAAATCAACCAGCATCTATTCAGTGTCAGACTCACAATTGAATAAACACACAGCAACCAGCTCAAACATTCTTATTCAGGCAGTTCATCAGTAACATTCAGTTTCTCCCTTAAGAAAGCAAATCTATTACTTGGAAGGGCTTTGGTTAAGATATCAACAACCTGAAATTCAAATGCAACATACTGAACACTCACATTTTTCTAAGCAACTAAGTCCCGAACATAATGCACATCTATTTCTGTGTGCTTAGTTCGCGCATGGAATACAGGATTTGCAGACAAGGCTCATGTGCTCATGTTATCGCACCAAATAATAGGTATATTAGTACTATGTATATCTAACTCAGTAAATAACTGTTTGATCCACACAATTTCAGTAGCAGTATGGCAGAGAGCTTTGTACTCAGCCTCCGTAGAGGACAAGGAAACTACCTTCTGTTTCTGGGAGCTCCACTGAACTAAGTTACCTCCAACAAATACACTATAACCTGTAGTTGATCTTCTATCAGTGACATCGCTTGCCCAATCAGCATCAGCAAAAGCATCAAGGAAGAAATGATCTTTCTTTGTGAACAACAACCCATGCTTAAGAGTGCCCTTGACATATCTCAATATACGTTTGCAGGCTGTCCAGTGGTTTTCAGTGGGATGTTGAAGAAATTGACTCAATCTATTGACGGCAAAAGCTAGATCAGGTCTAGATAAAATCAAGTACTACAGTCCCCCTATAATGCTTCGATAAAGAGAAGGCTGCTCAAAAGAAGCACCATCCTCCTTACTTAGTCTAGTTCCTGTAGCCATAGGTGTAGAATAAGGTTTAGAACTCTCCATACCAGCCTTGAGAAGTAATTCTTGAGCATATTTACTTTGAGTGAGCAGCAGCCCAGCAGCAGTTCTCTTCACTTCAAATCCCAGAAAATAGCTCACTGGACCAAGTATTTTTAATGCAAACTGATCATTAAGATCTTTCACAATTTGAGACATCAAATGTGGATTATTGCCTGTAAGTAGGATATCGTCTACATAGACCAGAAGATACACAACATGAGAGTCTTTTTTGTAAAAGAATAGACTAATATCATAAGCAGAATTTCTGAATCCCCAAGTCAATAAAGCAGCTTGTAACTTGTCAAACCAGGCTCTAGGGGCCTGTTTAAGACCATATAAAGCCTTCTGTAGTCCGCACACCTGCTTTGTTTGAGAAAAATTAGAAAAACCTTCAAGAGGCATCATAAACACTTGCTCAGTTAAGTCCCCATTCAAAAACGCATTATTCACATCTAGTTGTTGCACTTCCCAACCATTATAGACTGCTAAAGATAAGATAACTCGAATAGTGGCTGCCTTGACTACCGGGGAAAAAGTATCAAAGTAATCAAGGCCAGGAGTTTGCTGGAATCCTTTGGCTACCAACCTGGCCTTGTACTTTTGAAGTGACCCATCAGAGTGTAATTTAGTCTTGAACACCCACTTACTTCCAACTACATTCATACCCTCTTCATATGGAACCAACTCCCATGTTTGATTCTTCAAAAGTGGTTGATATTCAGCATACATAGCTTCCTTCCATTCTGGAGTATTCATTGCTTCAGTGACAAAATTTGGTTCTGCTAATATACACTGAGTTGCTAAAAGAGCATAAGTCTTAGCCTTGGATCTAGTGACCATGGGATGAATATTGTCATATGGACCCATGGATGAAGATATGGGTAGTACAACTTCCAAGTGAATACCAGGCAGATCCGAAGATGAAATTCCAACAGGTTCAATCACATGATCAGAATCAGATATAGTAGAAACATGAGTATCAGATATACTAGGCTGTTCTAACCCTACAAAAACATTATCAACCACAAGACCAGAATTACGAATAGTAGATGCATGAGGATCTGATGTCATGACCTATTTTGAACCTGCAGATACATTAAGTACAGAGTGAGGATTGGAATATACTTCAGTAGATGTACATTCAACTGGACCAGTATGATCAGTATGTGGCTCTACTGAAACTGATATTGGAGAATTTAACAATGATGGATCTATCATTGATTGAGCATTACACGGCAGAAATCAGGCTTGAGAAAATCCAGAATTTTTAGTGAAATTTTCAGAATCAAACACATCATTTTGAAATCCAGACTTGAAAGGAAATTTAATCTCGTTAAACCTTACTTGCTTTACTACATAAACTCTACCAGAGGCTACCATACATTTATACCCTTTGTGTGCAAGGCTGTACCCAAGAAACACACATTTTTCTGTGTGAAATGAGAGTTTGTTTGGCTGATAAGGTCTGAGGTATAGAAAGCAGCTACAACCAAATACCTTAAGCATGGTATTGTCTGGTTCTTGATTAAACAGACACTGAAAAGGTGAGATAAAATTGATGGCAACTGAGGGGAGTCTGTTTAAGAGGTAAGTAGCTATGCTAAAAGCTGTCCACCAAAACTTCAAGGGCATTCCAGCATGTGCTAACAGAGACAATCCAAATTCAGTGATCATCCTATGTTTTCTTTCCTCACGCCCATTTTGCTGATGAATATACGGACAAGGATGCCTAAATAATACTCCATGTTTCTACAGATAATTAGCAAATGGCATGTATTCTCCACCGCAGTCTGTTTGCAAGCACTTAAGCTTAGTATTTAACTGATTTTCAACAAAACAGTGGAATTGGGTAAAGACATTAAAAGCCTCAGACTTAAACTTTAACGGATAGATCCAAACATACCTACTAAAATTGTCTACAAAGATGATATAGTATCTATATCCTTCAGTAGAATTTATAGGTGCAGGCCCCCATAAATCAGAATATACTAATTCTAAAGGGTGTTTTGCTCTTGACTGAGAACTTGGAAATCGACATTGTTGCAATTTGCCAAATTGGCAGGCTTTACAAAATAGTGGATTATTATTATCAACAGAATGTCTTACATGCATTTTATTTAGAACTGCACTAAGTACTTTAGTATTGGGATGTCCCAATCTAGCATGCCATAACATAGCATTTTTGGAGACAGATTGTGATTGATTACAAATGGCAGAAAAAACTGCAGTGCTAGCTAAAGGGATATCAGAATCCAACTTATTACATTCAGTAGCAGCTAGAGGAGAAC